TAACCCAAGTTTTTACATGCAGCCAATCATTTAAAACACATAAATTCAGCAAGGATGGGGCATGAAAAAAAAAAAAAAGCTTATGAAAGTTAGTGCACTCTGAAAAACTTCCTAGCGCCTCCGATATTTTATAGATTTGCATAATTGCAGGAAGAGAGAGAATGTATGTGTGGATATGTGTGTGTGTGCATGTGTGTGCACGTGTGTGCATGCGTGCGTGCGTGTGTGCGTGTGTGTGTGTGTGTGTGTGTGTGTGTGTGTGTGTGTGTGTGTGTACTTTTTCATATACATGTAGAAGCCAGAAATCAATCTCAGGCCCTACTCCTCAGGCCTTGCTTTTCCATCTGCCTTGCTTTTCTGAAACAGGGTATCTAACACTAGCTGGGAACCCTGCAGCACACTGAAGTGGTTGGCAAACAAGCCCCAGAACTCTGCCTGTGCCCAGCTCCCCAGCTCCCCGCCTCCCCAGCCCTGGGTTAGCAAACGCACACCACTAGGGTCTGCTCCTTCTCCAGGGGCTGGGATCTGAACTTCTCACCATTCTTGGGTGGCAAGCACATGACGACCTGAGTTATCTTATTTCCTTTTACTTGGGAAGAGAGTTAATGCTATGATTTATGGTTTCTTTTTTGCAATAGCTATATTTGAATCACCTAACAGTAACTAACAAAAAAAAAAAAAAAAAAAAAAAAGACAAGCTTCATGGGTAAAAAATTCATGAGAGAAGAAAAATCATCAAAGATATAAACTAATCTACTAATCTATATTACAGAACTGTTACAGAATTTTCAAGAGCACCAGTTTAAAAATAAGCTACTAGTTATGAACAGAGGAATGGATACCAAGGAAATGAGTACATGCACTGTGCCACAAACCACTAACATTCAAGCATGTTAGTACCTTAGCTACATATACAAGGATTCCAAACGTTATGCAAAGTGGTAGCATAAAAACATAGAAAGTTAAATGTACAATATTATTACAATATAAAGCTATCAATTACATAAAGACTTAAAGAAAGTATACTCAGTGATGTACTTCTATTTTCACAACTTTTACTATCTCTAAAATGTATTTCATTAGCCATCTACCCCATCTCTTATTTTTTTACACACACATAACCACACACATACACACTTCTCTCAGGATCCAGTGGTAAGCTGGCCATATTAACTTTCTACATTGATAAGGATATATTTGTCCTAGCATCTAACTAGGGCAATATGCCTAAAGCTGAAAAATTACATTTCTCCATATTTTCAATAAGGTTATTGGATGCCGATCATCACAGTGTCCTTAAGTGATATCTAGGAAGGTAGAAAGGTATGAAATCACCATTGCTGCACAGTGCTTCTAACAGGGTATTGATTTTGAACAAAGCAAGCGTGCTGTACTGTTGAGATTTCAGAACCACATCCAGCCTTCCCAGGAGACATTAAAGTTCTAGAAGTGGACTGCAGTGTCCTGGTGGAAACACATCATTACACTCATGTCTTCGTAATTTTACACATATATATGTGGTATGTGTGTGCTCGTGTGCTCATGTATTTGGGCACATATGTGTAAGTGTGTAATTAATGTTCCTTAACTCCTCTCCACTTTATTTACTGAGGCAGGGTCTTAACACTGAGTCAGAGACTTGCTAATTGTGACTAGTCTAGCTAGCTAGCTTACCTTGCACACTGGGATTACAGGGTCTACCCTTGCATGCCTAGCTTCTGTGTGGATTCTGGGGGTCCACACTGTGTTTCTCAGGGTTCTGTGGCAAGTGCTTTATTCACTCATTGTGTCCCTAGCTCACACCTTAGTATCTGAAACAGAATTCTTCTTTATAAATCAGAGACTGGCTCAGGACCTCGTCCTATAATAAATACGTGGCAGCATCAGTGTGTATATAGAACACTTAAGAAGCAGTGCAATGGACTATGCTGCAAGAGATGCAACGGAGAGCACTCCTTAGTCAGTCAGTGCTAACACCCAGAAAGATGAGTCAACAGAATCAGTTATCTATCAACAGGCACGCATCCAGAAGGACTATAACAATTAAATCCCTTATACTGAAAAATGCATCAGGATAGTTTCTTTTCTTTGGTACCAACTTTATGTGGACACATCTGATTCTAAAATACCAACAGCCAACTATCATGATGTTACTGTTTCCTTTATATATCCTGGGAATTCACTCAAAAGACATAAGACAGGTGCTTAACAGAGCAACTGAATTCTACAAAAACCGATGGTGTTTGTAGCTGTTTACTGGACGCTGGCTGTTTCCCACTCATCTAGAGCTTTCTTTTAATTGGCATCTATGCTTCATGTTGGAAACGAAGGACTGATTTTTATGTAGACAGCCCCTCTCAACCAAGGTCATGGGCTGAGGTGCGGGTGGCACACAGAACTAGTTCTCAGGTCAGATTTAACTTGTAGTGTTTTCAGAGTACAATCAGCCTTCTTATAGACTTCCACCACAGTACTCAGTAGTTAGGACTACACACAGAAACATCAAACTATGTTGTCTAGATGCTTTCCAAAAGTAATGGACCTATTAAATAATTTAAGTATCTAGTCTCTCCTTCAGTATTTATTAAAATGTGTACTCTTCTGAGGTTGACATGGACAGAAACATTTTTCAACATATAGATGATAACTATTTACAAAAGCACAGTTCTGGGAGTGAGGCTGCTAGTGGTGGGACACACATCTGGCTTGCATAAGCTCTCAGTTCAGTCTCTAGCACCTCCAAAGTGGGACCCCTGAGGCTGGGTGAGTGGTGAGCTGCCCAACAGAGGCCCTGCAACATAACTCAGGCCTCTGCACGGGCAGGGCATTCTCAACCACTAACCCGCCTGTCCTGCCTGCAATGCATTGTGAAAATTACATCTAAAGAGAAACACTGAAGGAAAGTTCTAGAACTAAGGTCTGACTCATTAATTAACTGCTTATTTACCCATTTACACTTCTCAACTTAATATTCCCCATAAGGCATAACTCATTTTCAGAACATTTCAATCCCCGGCCATCATTCCTTCTTGACTAGCTATGTTGTTAATAACAGGTTCTGGAGCAGGAAGGCCTGGTGGCAGGAGCTGCAGCTACACACGGGCCCCTATAAAGGGCAGCTGCACAGGGCTCCTATGCGCTGAGGCTGCGTCCAGGCTTCTGTTCACTGAAGGCAAGCCTGTCTGACCGTACCTTACAACACTTGTGTTTTAGAAGCTTATATTCTTCAAAGAGCTATACACACACACACACACACACACACACACACACACACACGTACACACACACACAGAGGAAATATTCTTCTTAGGTTTAATGAGAACAAGTTCATCAACTACAATCTCCAAAGAAGACAGAGATGCATTTACAAGCACAGATGGTACTAACCAATTACTTCTCCCATGTGGCTCTATTTCCCTGTTGGTAACTCCCAATGTGTTTTCTAAGACCATTTCAATCAAATCCTCATCAAATTCAAAGACCTTTATAAAACTCGATCCACCTCCCCAACCCACTTCATGAAATACCTACCATACTTCCCCTAAAACCTAAGTACGCACAGTCCTTGACACCCTGGAGTAACTTCTTCCTTCTCTTTTATTTCTATCAGTCAAACGCAAGCCCTTTCAAGACATACCCTGAAGCCACATGCTTGGCTTCAAGTCCTGGCTACACGTTTACTTTCCGTGCATAAATGGAGGCAAATTAGTCTTAGGTTCTCCTATTTGTAAAATGAGGGTAATGATAGTACTGTTTGGCAGAACATAAAGATGAAGTGTAGGTACAGCAGCATTGCCTTCCTACCGTATGTGACACTGCTGTAGTGGTGTTACACACCCCTTCCTACTGTAGGTGACACTGCTGTAGTGGTGTTACACACCCCTTCCTACTGTAGGTGACACTGCTGTAGTGGTGTTACACACCCCTTGCTATTAAAAGTAACCACTACCGTGCAGGAATAAACAAACACCAGTAACAATGAAGACTAAAGTGGCTGTGAGCCTCAGCACAAAATCTCAACCACAGGCTGCTACCTTAGGCTAAAGACTCTTAAAAGATGCGCCAACTTCTTACCTCCACATGCCTATAAGTCAATTCCACTGGTAAATCCCATGGCTAATTCAAATTCAAAACATTTTAAGCAATCATTTTAGTAATCAACCCCCAATTTCCCAATTTGGACGGCCTTACTATTGAGCGTTCTCTTTCGACCTGTGTTCCTCTCCCCTTCCTTCTCCCTGAGACACCTCCCTCCAGGGTTCCCGTCCTCACACCTGAACTTCCGGCTCTGCTTCTGGCCTCACTTCCTGCCCTCACACTGTGTTCGCCTCGACTGCTTCCTACTGTCCTATACACAGGATGAAAGGCAGTCACTCACCTTTAAGATCCCGACAGCCAGCCCCTTCAGACTTCAACTTCAGCAGACACGGTTTCTGGCGGATGCCATCTGCTCCTCTGCCTAGTCACGATCTTGCAGTGACTGACACTCCGCTCACTCACTCAGGTCCTTCCTCACCTGCTCGCTCATCTTCTCCATTCTCAACGCTGCTCTGCACTGCGTGTGACGGGCACTACTCTGGCCTGTGTTCTTCAGCTAACATATGTAACCTGAGCTGTCTGTCGACACGGACGGAAGCAGATAACATACCGTGTGCTCTGTGTTTACCCTGCATCATCTATAAAGAAGCCGTTATTGTAAATAAGCCCCATGCTGTGCTTACCCGTAACTTCCTTAAGCCTCAACTGTAATACTCCAAGGCAGAGGTCAACAAACATTTTCTGTAATAGATACTAATATTTCACATATGGTCTCTATCACATTTTCTTCTAACATTTAGGAGTACACACACACACACACACACACACACACACACACACCCGGCCACAGAGGCCTTCCTTATAAGGGGCCGCTACACTTACGCAGCTACATAACAATTAACTCAGTTGTTGAAACGCGGGTGACTTTTGAGATGGTACAGAATATGAACCCGGTCTCTCACCAGCTCTCTCAGACTTTTCTTTCTGTTCCCGCAGTTGCTCTCCTTGGGTCGCCATTTGTTTGATGCGACTGCGAAGCTGAGCAATTTCTTCCTCTTTCTGTTCCAGGGTTTCCTGCATGTGCCGCTTCGTCTCTGTTATTACCATTCCCTGAACAGAAGGCAGACGCTAAAGCATTTGCAGAATAAAGCTGCGCCACCATTACACACAGCACAGCCCAAACGACGCAGAGGCAGGACAGGCATTCCTTACTAAGGTCAGTGGGAGAATCTTTTCAGTCTCTCACAAGCTCAAGTCTGTGTTTTCACTCCGTGCCTTAGCAGACAGGGTGTTTCAGTACGAAAATATTTACCAGTAAGTGCTTCAGTTACAAGACTTACTTTACAATCTTGATGTAGGTGCGGTAATTCCCATCTTAATAAACAGTAACGAACAAAACTAGCCCCTGAATGTGACTCGGGGCCAGAATAAGATAAGCCACAGTGGTTTCACAGCAAGAATTCCAGACACTATGTTGTCCCGGAATGCGACTTTAACTAGGCAAAGATTGTTACTTTTGTTTATGTTGCATCTGCTTCACCTTGTCTGCCTAAGGCACCTGACTGGTCTAAAAAAAGCTGAACAGCCAATAGCAAGGCAGGAGAGGGGTAGGCAGGGCTGGCGGGCAGAGAGGGTAAGTAGGAAGAGAGAAGAGAGAGAAGAGAACGAGGGAAAAAAGACAGAGAGGGTCACACCCAGGGCCAGAGACCAAGTGGCGGCCAGCCAGACACTGGAGAAGGCAGGAAAGACACACAGAAAGAGAAGTAAAAAGCCCCAGGCAAAAGGTAGGTAAAGGGAGACAGGTTGGTTTAAGTTAAAAGGGCCAGCCAGAAATGAGCCTACGCTAGGTTGAACATTCATACCTAATAAGAAGACTCTGTGTCATGATTTGAGAGCTGGTTGAGGCCCAACAGAAAAGGCCTGGTACACTATGTGGGGCAGTTGCTGCCACCCTGGTGGACAAGGCTGGAGCCCAGCTGTGCCTACTTCTCTTTTCTCCTGTGATTCCCTGTGGGCCATCACTACCCTAACTACCGCAAGGAAGGCTTCTCTTCCTTCTGGGAAGAATCTCTACAGAAACACAGGTCAATGTGCGGAAAGAAATCAAATCACCATGTACAAAACCAGTCACTTGGGACAAACAAAAAATCTGGGTAGTTCAGCTAGTCTCCTGCAAAGGTGCTCAGACCTTTCCTGCGGGGCCTGCTGAGCCTGCCCTGGAGTATGACTCTTCCGGACGGCCAGTGCTAATGTAACTACCAGGGAAGTAAAGCACACTCAGGACAACTGAAAATGCAATAGTGGGCCTTCACTGTCTCCAAAACTCACATCCCAAAGAGATGAAAGGACAACTACACCTATCAGTTACAATACAGGAGCTTACTTGGTCTGTAAAGAGAAACGTGTGAGATGATAAGAAAAATCAGAAATGACTACACAGCAGATACTATCATGAACTACTGTTAAACTGATAGATAAGATCATTTGAAGAAACCAAGATACTTTGTTTCAAAGCCAGGTTAAAATACTGTAGTTATGAACCAACGTGTCAAATAAAATGATAGATGGTATGAACGGGGGGGGATGTTTTACGAAGGGGGCTCTTTGTTCACCTGTGACCCTCCCAGTTGTCTCTGCTGGGTGCTAGGCGCTGCTCTAACTCCAAAGTGACTTCCGTGAGCTCAGCCCGTCCTGTCCTCCAGTAACCTGAGCATCCTGAAGCCCACACGTACAAAGTTTTATGCTAATATGCACATTATCACTTCTTTACTTTTAAGGCAACTCACCCAAATGATCGATCTATTTCTACAATGTTAAAGAAAATACTGAAACCACTCACATTCAGCATAATTAACTTTTAATAATTTTTCTTTGAAAAATAGGTATGTACTACAAATCGATTTCCTTTGTAACCATTACTGTTTGTCTTTAAGACACAAGGCTGACTGGTATTAAGAATTCAGAGAATCAGGCTTATTAATGGTAAAAACTAAATAAATCTAGAAATTAAAACTAGTTTTTTATGGAAGCAGCTACAAAAATTTTGAAAAGCATGTAATGTAAATACTGCTAACTGCTCTCAAAGTAAATATGGGGGGGGGGACCTGACAAATCTCAGTGTCATAAATTTGGGGGTTTTACCTTATCTTGTTCAAGCTGTTCAATTAAGTTCTTTGCATCACGCAACTGAGTGATAAGTTTAGTCTTCTCAGCCATATGAAGCTCCTAAAAAAGTTTTAGAAATTCATTTCCATCTCTAATTAAGCTTTGCCTCATTTGAGAACTCTACGCAGCTTATCTAATGTAGACAATCCTTACAGTGTAGCGGGACAAGTAGACAGGGACCCTGCACTGGATGCTAAGTGCTCCAAGACCCAGGGCACCTGGGTGCTGATACAGGGACGCCCTCTCCACCCGGTCTATGGGCAGGAGGGTGAGGGTGGCTCCCCGGAGAGGAGCTGTGGATCTGGTTCACACATCTTTCCAAGGCCGGAACCCAGTGGCCCCTCACCTTCATCTTTTCCAGCTCCTGCAACCTTTCATCCAGTTGCTCCTGCAAGGCTTCCTTCTCGCTGCTTAGTAGTGTGCACTGCTCCTTCTGGGACCGAATCGTCTCCTTGCAGCGCTGAAGGAGGCTTTCCTGGCGTTTCACTCTTCGCTGAAGCATTTCCAGGGTTTTAGCGGACGCTTCACCTCCTACACATGATGAACACAGGCAGTTGGTAGAAACACAAGTCATCAGGCCAGCGGGATGCTCAGTGCGTGAAGGTGCCTGCCACCCAGCTCCTGTTCAATCCCCAGGACGGTTCAATCTCCACACGGTGGAGAGAACCAGCACCATGAGCTGTCCTCGAACCTTCCCACGCACGTCATGGCACATGAACCCTCACAGACACTAAATAAATAAACGAAATTTTAAAACAATTTTAAGGAATACAAAAGAACTCTGGGAACAGTTCATCTTTTTAAGAGGGAGGGAAGGGGTTTTGGGAGCTGTGTTTAGCCTTCTGCAAGCTAAGCACACTCTACTACTGAGCTACAGACTCAGTCTCTGCAATGTCCCCTTCTACCCAAACCTAACTATACTCTCAGACAAATCAAGAGAAGGGATACCCCAATAAGCCAAGTATCACTCTTCCAAACTTCTACTCTCAAGTTACTGTGTGATATTTATTTGAAGATGCCAAGTATAAATTCACACCATTAGTGGTTCAACCTTACCCTGGAGTGATATACGTGTTGGCATTTACTGGATCTGGCCTACTTAAAAGTGTACCATTCCTAAGCCCCCACCAGTTCCCGTCTCCATGGTATTTTGAAGTAAGTATTCTCTCTGGCCACATTCTAGCCTGGTCACTGCAGGGTTATCCCCCACATCTGTGGGTGCAGCTTCATACCCACAGGAGCTGCGGCCCCTTGCAGGGCCACTGCTCAGATGGCTGGCTGCATCTTCCTCTGTCTGAGTGGACCAAAGTCTACTGAGAGTCTCTTTGTAAGAGAACAAAGCCATGCATAAGGCAAGTATGGTGACGTAACCTGTTAAGTGGCTAAAGAGGAAAAGGTCACAACTTGAGTGATCTGGATTACATAATGGAACCCTGTCTCAAGAAACTAAAATAGTATAACATAATTTATGTACTTCAATTATTTAAAATGTGGTCTCCTTAAAGTTTATGCAATTTGCAAGTCTTAAATAAATTTGGGTTTTTGTTTGTTTGTTTTTTGGTTTGGGTTTTTTTTTCCCTCCCCCTTCAATCCCAGCACTCAGGAGGCAGAGGCAGGTGGATCTCTGTGAGTTTGAGGCCAGCCTGGTGTACAGACCTAGCTAGCTCCAGGACAGATAGAGCTGTTACACAGAAAGACCCCATCTCAAAAAAAAAAAAAAAAAGTAAATTAAAAAAAAAAAAATTAACTTGAATCTTTGAAGAAACATTAGGGTCAAGGACGTCTTCCTTCTGCCTCCGTCTCATCTACCAGCTCAAACCCTGAATCCTCTCAACATTGCCCTCTGATTGTTAAATGACACTGACAGAACCTGAGCTTACCCACTGGCTCCCCGACATCCTCTATCTTCTCTTTGTCAGGGTCCACTTCTGCCTGGAGCTCAGCTGGAGGGGGCAGCTGTGCTAAGTCAACACTCAATGGGCCATTCTGTAACCGCTGCTTTAGGAGAGAGACCTTTAAAAAAAAAAAATCAGCAGTATGGCAGAAAGGTTTCATTTAAAATTTGTAAGAAATACAGTGAACCTAGCTGATGATGGTGAACAACTTTATAGCGCTCAGGGCAAAAGCAGGGAGATTCCCGAGTTCAAGGCCAGCCAGGGCTACATGGAGAAACCGTCTCAAAAACCAAAAGAGGGCGGTGGGAGAGAACAGTATGTTTACTATGCCAAGCACAGTCTGCTCCTATGCCGTGAGTGGAGCTCCACAACCAGACAAAAGATACAATAATCAAAACGCACAGTCAGTGCTAAAGTGGAAGAAAGGTAGGCGTTGAAACAAGTTTTCCTCTTTACATTTGACACTTCACCTTTCCCACCACAATCCCGTTTTTCTAGCGCTGGCTTCTGTGTTTCACTCACTTGCTCTTTTACCTGCGTCTGGAGGACGCTGATGTACTGATCTTTCTCCTCCAGACAAGCATCAAACTCTTCCTGGAGATGTCTCTTTGCTTGCTGGTCCATCTGCAGCTCCTAGAACACAAAAGGAATTACAGGTAGCTTTCGATGTAAGACAGAAGATACACACCTCGAGTTTACAACAGCATCGTTTCAAATTTGCCTCACTCTTAAAATAGCATATGCAAAATAATTAGAGAATCCCTCAGTGTGGAAGACATTAGACATTAGTATTTAAAACTTTAACATCAGTAAGTAGTTTTGTTCCTTGAACAATATGAAGGTCTCCAAAGAAAGAGTATTCTTGTAACAACCGGCAGTGACTAACAGTAAATACAAGGGAAAGGAAGGTTTGAGACGAGCGCAGCGTGGGCTAAAGTGTAACATGGCAAACACAACGCCAGGGGTGCCCTGCCCATCCGCCCAAACCACAGCACTCCCATCCGCCCAAACCACAGCACTCCCATCCGCGGAGCCAAGAGGGTGAGCTCACTGGCTGTCCACCAAGGAAGAGCCCTTCCAGCTCCTCAAATGACCACAAATGCTACTTTTTTAAGGTCATTAACCAGAGATCAATGTTTATCTCTGCACAAGAAGGGCCTCCTCGAGCTGGGCTCCTGCTCATCGCCAATGCCCTCCTAACTCCAGCCTTCTGCCCTTAACTGAGTCTACCTGTCCCTTCAGGACAGTTGTGTGTCCTCTCCGTTTCTCCTCAATCTCACTTTCTTAGAACGTTAGAGATGAAGATCTGGAATATATTAGCAGGACACAAACACCCTATTATTCTGGGGTTGCTACCTTACTGACTCTGTAACTTAAAATATTCAGTTATATTTTAGTCGTTTTGTAGACACTTGCTTATGACCCAATTCTTTTACTAATCGCTCTCGAGTGTCTGGGTTCTCTTCTACAACTATCACCACGGCCCTTTGATTACACCATCCCTCACAGATCCGCTAGGCCGCGGGCTGGCACCCAGTTCTTGCACTGTTCCAAACTGATTTGTTCTGAAAACAGCAGGGCGCTACCTTGCACTGAAGTGCCCTGCATTCTTCCCTGCACTGAGATTACCAACAGGCAGCAAAAAGGAATATCACATGTGCTTACCCATCTATTAATAAAGCAGAGGTCCACGCCCCATTTTCTTGAGGATAGCTCCCTCACTGAGGGACTCCTTAGCGGCAGGACAAAAAAAAAAAAAAAAAAAAAAAAAAAGTATTCTGTGTCTCTAGATAAACACCATTGTAAACACCCTCAAAACCTGCACCCACCTCTAACAGATATTTTCTGGATTTTAAACAAGACTGCATTCCGTTGCTACATGTATCTAATCATTACATGCATAAAGCCTGAATTTCTTGCCCCAAACAGGATCAATTAATGACCTCCACTTACTCTCAAAACACAAGAAAAGGAACAAATAATACATTAAGCAAAAAGATATCATTTGTCTCGCCAGGGAAAGCAAAGATGCTTGTAACCGGAAAAAGCGTCGAGGGGACTTCTCTTCCCACCCTGCTCAGGGCAGCCTCAGCTCATGCTCTCCAGCACCCGCTGTCTGCCAGGTCAAACCAGCAACGTGGACTCGGAACACTAGGGTGGGCTACATCCATCCCTGCACCGTCCCTCCATAGGGAGTAGTGATTCTTCCAGGGTGTGAGCTCCAAACACGTCTCACAAAGGAAGAATGTCTACCATTATCTGCATGAGAGGGGCCAATGTCTACTCTTGGTAAAGTAACAGAAATAAACTAGTTGTCAAAGTTATGTTTAGAATTTTTTAAAGAACAAAACAGTAAGAACTGGATGTATACAAAATGTAACAAGAGACTAGAAATTAAACACGATTTCAATACAAATGAAACAATGTGATACAAGAAATTAATATGTGACCAATACTAACAACTTGTCGTTAAAAATAACAGATATTCTAAGAAAAACCAGGGCTTGCTCTTGGTGACACCCATCACTCAAAGGACAGGCTCGGCTTACGGCTTTTCTTCTGCCCCATCTCACAGACAGAAAGTGCTCTCATTCCCTTCCTCCCTCCTCCCCCTCTCTCTCCTTCTCTCTCTCCCCCCTCTCTCCCTCCTTCTCTCCCTCCCTCTCTCCCTCCATGTCACCCTCTACCTTCTCAACACTATTCTACAACTAAGCTATATTCCTAGTCTTATACTAGCAATTGTTATTTGTAACGTTATCAACCTGTTACTTGTAAACAGATTTGTACTTTTAATCCACTATGTATCTTAGGCTGATAAATTCCACAAATAAAATTCTACTCAGAATACATAGAATTCTAAATACTATTGTTTGCCCTGAAATCCCCTGCTTCAAAGCTCTTAAAATAATAGCACAAGCAGCAAACTGGTACCCATGAAGAACATCCACAATACAAACATGCAACAAGACGCGCCCAGCAACACTAAGCAGGTATGGAGGAAGCTCCAGGCTGGGGCAGGGGCCAACAATGAACCTCTGAAAGCCCCTCCATGTGGGCTCACTGCAGGGCAAAATGCTCCCAGAGGGGCATCAAGGAGGCAGCTCAATCTGACCCTACAAAGAATTACCACTCCCAAATTACAAGTTACTTTATTTCAACAAAACCATGTTGACTAGGAAAGACAAAAAGACAAAAAAAAAAAAAAGCCTAGGAGATTTAGCAGTGGCAAAAATTTAGCCTTGAGAGTGGACAGTGACTACTCACACTGAAGACTTACATATTTTATTTCATTAATTTCAACAACATCTACCATAGAAAACCATACAAACTAAAGTACAGAGATGGTGCGTGAGCTCGCGGGCTGGCCTGGATGGCTACCCAGCTCACTTCCCACTGCACACAAGGCGTGTGGACCATCGCTCTACACTAAGAGGCTAAATCACCACCTTACCTCCCTCAATTCCGAGATCCTCCGAAGTGACTTGTCTTGACTCTGACTCAATATACCCTTTAATTAAAAAAGGAAAGAGGGTGGTTAAACATCTACTTGGCATATTCATGCAAAAAAAAAAAAAATATATGACAGCATAGAATTACTCAGAATTCTAGCTTTGTTACATTTGCTAAAATGCATAAACATGGAAGTCAAACTACAAACTTAACTATATGTTAACTAACAAAAGAAAATCTATAAAGTAAACTCAAACTTCAGAAGCAAATGATTTCACTGTAACCACGTTAATTATCATTATCGTGTTGTAAAAGTTTATATGAAATAAAACTTTTCTTTAAAAAAAAAATCTAATTTTTACCAGGCGGGGGTGGCACACACCGTTAATCCCAGCACTCGGGAAGAAAAGGCAGGTGGATCTGTATGAGTTCAAGCCCAACCTGGTGTACAAAGCAAGTTCCAGGCCAGCCAGAGCGACATACAGAGAAACCCTATCTTGAAAAAGCAAAAATCTCATTTTCACAAACAGCATTACAGATGGCTAAAGTAGTAACTGTCCATTAAAAAGAAATCAAGTGGGGGCTGGACAGGTGGCTCAGTGGTTAAGAACACCGGTTGTTCTTCCAGAGGACCCGGGTTCAATTCTTAGTTCACAACCATCTGTAACTTCAGTTCAGGGGATCTGACACCTCCCACTGGCCCCCGCTGGCACCACACACACACACACACACACACACACACGGTCACAGACAGGCATGCAGGCAAAACACCATACTCATTAAAAAATAATAATTAAATTCTTTTAAAATTCTTTAATCAAGTTAAAAAAGTAATGTATTAAAAGATGTATACCTCACACTTTGGAGGGTGGCAGGCTTTTATTAGTGTAAGAAATTAATGCCAAGCTGCAGGCCATGGAAATGGTAACTGCGTGCACTTGTCTGTCACTAACACACAAAGGTAAAGACCTAAAGTAACGGCTCGAGCCTGGGACCACAGAAGTCAGGAAGCTGAGTCAGGAGGACGGCTACACTGAGAGACCCTGCCTTAGGAAAACATCACAAGAGGGTAACTTACAGCTTCTCAGATTTGTGTGACTGACAACGAGAGAGACAGAGAGACAGAGACAGAGAGACAGAGACAGAGATGGAGACAGAGAGAGAGACAGAGACAGAGACAGAGAGAGAATACAGGCAGGCAAAATGTCTGTTTATTGACACAGAGGGCTCTGCCTCTCTTTGAGTGGGGCAGAAGTTAACCATCACAGCTACTGTTAAGCCTGAGAAACGTTTATTCTTTCAAACAAGCTAAAATGTTGGAAGGTAGTGCCTCACTGGCAACTTTAGACCATTCCCTGGGACCCCAGGCTAGCGACAGGCTATCTGCCAAGCAGTTAGCTAGACAGCCCTCAGCCAGCACCAGCTACTGGCAGACCCCCGTGGCTCAAGGTCCATGTCCTGGCCACAGTGGCTTCAGTTTGTGCTGGACTTTGTGCCCATACAAGCCTTGTGAACTGAAAGTCACCTAGAACCATTTGCATCAAGGAAAACGTTTCCCCTAGAGACCCAGCAGAGAGCAGGCGGCTGGCGCACACAGCCCTTCACTCTGAGAGGCTGATGGTGTGACTGTGGTCCTGTGTGCCAGGACTAGTGCAGACACACCTGTGCATGCCGGATGCAGACACCATGCTCAGGCGCTCTGTTCTGCTTCCTCCCGTGCTGCCCTGGGAGCTGCCGCGTCAGGCTCAGTAACAGGGCCATACCTACGCCGTGCCTTTATCTCGGGAAACATCTCTGGGGTCACCATCTCTCACTCTTTTGTCACACCTCTAGTAACGGTAAAACAGGTTAAATCTAGAACTACACAGGATGTTTAAAAAGGAGAGGAAATATTCCTACGATAACTTTTCTGACTTTAAAATCAAATATAACTCAACAACGGTCAATAAATCACTCACTTGTAACTTTTTCTTCTCCCTCTGAAGAGTCTGATATGCTGTGACAAGCTAAAACAAACAAACCACAAAAATAACATTAGTTATTTCATTTCTCAACAAATACAATTCATTATTCTAAATGCTGCTAAAAATTTTTCTCTTTGCAAAAGTCAAAAACCAATCACAACAGTCCTACACAGACAACTGAGCCTTATTCAATCCATAAGAAAAACTAAGTAACGTGGCAAGTCTATTTCTTGTATTTTTGGTTGTGAGCCCAGCCTTTAACGAACAGCTGAGCCATCTCTCCAGCCCAGCAAGTCTATTTCTAAAATGTAAGTTTTAAGTTTACTGTAAGCCAGTGAATCTCCAGGCATGCCTTCAGATTTCAACACCTTATAGGTGAGAATTGCAGCCAAGTTGCCTGAAGGTGGAAGGCTACCCAATTGTAGTCCAGGACTAAGTACATCTGCAACAAACAGCATTGTGCAAGTATCTTCTGGAAACAAATTCCAGGGCCTAACCCAAAATTAACTCACTGAGAAGTGAGGGACACAGTAGAGGGACAGGAATCTGTTTTAAAAGCTCTCCTGGTTATTATCAAACAAAATAATAAAAATGTCAGAGGAAAGAAATGCATAACTAGCAAATGAAGCCAGGAGCCCAAGCACAGCTCCATGAAGCAATGCAATAACGCTGTTTTAACCCTGCAGTTTTACACACTGACAGCTGCATTCAAAGCACAGCTGGGGCCTGCGCTAGCAGAGCCAGGGGCCTCTGTCCAGCTCAGAGCAGCTGTAGGGAAGCATGACGGTCTGCAAGAGTCTCCGTTTTCCCTGGAAACATGATGTGTGCCCCTAAATGTCACTGCTGATGTCTGAGTCAGGAGGCTGTCTGTGATGCAGAAGTGAGTCCAGGAGCAGACCTAAGAACTGGGGGGACCCCTTCTTAACTCCAGACTGGAAAGCTTGTACTCAGGACAGAGGTGGAGAGGGAGGAAGAGCAGCCCAGGGCTAGATGTCACTTACAGCTCTACTACTTCCTGGATACCTGCGGCAGCAAGGAAAAGCAGAGAGAGAGAGAGAGAGAGAGAGAGAGAGAGAGAGAGAGAGAGAGAGAGAGAGAGAGAGAGAGGCAAGGTCTATGAGGGCTCTATGCCTGCAAAGCTGCTTTACTCTAAGACAGCCTAGAAGGGGAGAGCAGCCAGAGTGACTGAGAACCAAACATAGAATCTATCAACTGCTACCCTATGTGGCCTTAAGCAAGGTAGTTAATCTCTATGCATCCCTAAACCCTTTTCTACAAAACTGAGCAAACTCACATTTGCTCATAAGGGTGTACAAAATTAAATGCCATTATAAATGTAAACAGTATCTGGCATACTTAAATGCTAGCTATACTGCTGCCCCAGCTTCAGACATAAAACCACAGATAAATTTATAAAAGTAGCATAAAGATAAACAAAAAGATTTAAGATCATTATTAACATAGGTAGAAATAAAAAAAACTAATAGTTTAAAATTTTTGAAGGAAAAAATTACCTAGTTCCACACATAACTACGAAAAGAGATACCTGGCTTCAGAAATGTACATTTCTAGGGTCCACAAAATTCCATTCTATTTTGCCAGCATTTCATTTTAGATTTGGCAGGGTGGATAGTAAACTAGCTACACCCAAACCCTTAAGTTTACCATTCATGGAAAATTGAATGTAACATTGACTTAGTAGCCATGTCCAATTAAAATGCTGCACACTGAACAGGATAAACGTGAACCAAGGGCAGCAAAGGCTTTCCTGAAGCAGAGGGTCTGCACTGCATTTGACAGACAGGGAGGGGCTGAGAGAGTAAATGTACAGGTTTTGTTCCTGAGGTACTAAAAAGGGGAGGGGAGGGGAGGACAGGGGAGGAGAGGGGAGGGGAGGGGGGAGGAGGGGAGGAGGAAAGGGAGGCAGAGACAGGTAGATTCTGTGAGTTCGAGGCCAGCCTGGTCTACAGAGCGAGTTCCAGGACAGCTAGGGCTACACTGTCTCGGAAAACAAACAAACAAACATAAATAAATAAATAAATAAATAAATAAATAAATAAATAAATAAATAAATGAGCAAGCAAATGTTAACTAAAACTTTAAATGTTCAAAAGTTAAAAACTGAGCCTGAGCTTGGCAAGATGGCTCAGTGAGAAAAGGCATTTGTGGCCCAGGGTATTGACTGCCTGAGTTCAATCTCTAGGATCTCTATGGCAGAACGAGAGAACCAACTCCCATAAGACTGTCTATAACCTCTCCTCCCATGTGCTATGCCCTGCATTCATGCATGCACATACAAATACACAATACATAACAAAGAGTTTAAATTTAATTACTGGTACAATGAGAATGAGCCAAATCTTTGCGATCATCAGACTACAGTGTGATCATCAGAACTAACAGTGGTTCTCAGCCTTCCTAATGCTGAGACCCTTTGATATGGTTCCTCATGTTATGGTGATTCCCAACCATAAAATTATTTCGTTGCTACTTCATAACTGTCACTTTGCTACTGTTATGAACTGTAATGTAAACATCTGATATGCAACCCCTGTGAAAGAGTCATTTGACCCCCAAGGGGCCTAGACTCACAGGTTGAGAACTACTGAGCTAAACCGATGCTGTTAGGTCATTTTGAAGCTACTTTCGTCAGAGATGCGTAACATGGGGACAGAGAAAAGAAACAGAATGACCTCTGCCCTGGGTGTCCACAGACTCTGCAGAGAATGGGAAACCCAGGCTACACACAATAATCTCCAAAATGGCAGAGTCTGCCAAAAGTACCTAGGTCCCGCCACCAACTACCTGCCCCCAGTAACCAGGAATAGGAGACCAAGCCGAAGGGGACCGCACGAACCAAGGCCTGCTCCTACCTCTGAGTATTTCCCTCGGTAACTACTTAAGCTTCGTTCCATTCTTCGCAACCGCTGAAGCAGCTGGTCCCTGCTGAGGCCATCTGAGCTCCCTGGTGCCTCTTCAGCCTCGCTCTCCATGTCGGAAGGTGGGTCAAAGGTGGCAGTGGGACAGTCCAGGTCGAGCTGGCTCAGGGACTCTCTGGAAGATGTTCGCACCAAAGACTCTTTAGAAGACCAGAACAGAGACTCCTTTATGGGACTGCGAAACAGAGACTCCACCGAAGGCACTCGGAGCTGGAGCTTCTGCGCAAAGGTCTGTGTGTCGCCTGTCTGTAAGCAGAGCCCAGCAGAGCAAGAGTTAAAATACACACGCAGACATCTACTACTCGGTTACCAGTGTGGTCTAGTAAAAGCTCTAACAAGTTCAACTTGCATCCCAGATAAGTGACACAAAACACTGACTTCTGAAAATGAAAGATGCTGGCCAGTTTCTGTAAAATGTCTGGAGTCCTAACTCTCCTGCCTGTCATCTAGCAGCGCAAGCCGTCACTAAGTCACTGTCCTCTAGTCTGCACATCTGAACAAAAGGAAGCATGTTTAGCATGCTGACCCCACCCCACAGGGGCTGTAATGTCTCATCTACCCGCCCAAAGTGTGGGAACCTGGGTGAAGTGCGAGGTGAGGAGCTCAATTCAAGTCAGTTTGACCTGGTGAGTCTTCACGGAACATTCTTTTCACCAAAAAGGACAATGGGCTGAGGAAGAAGGTAATGCTCTGGTGAGCCACCTCTCCTTGGATGGGGAGTGGGGGACCTGTGACACATCTCTGCTGGGACCCCCTGCCACCAACTCAGGCTGTCTGTACTAGTAGTATGTATAACCTGGAAACCACCCAATGTCCACCGCACAGAAGTCCACAAGGCACTACTAGCAGACAAGGCTGCAGGGGCTGCAGAGATGGTTCCGCGGTTAAGAGCATGCGCTGCCCTTCCAGAGGCCCTGAGTTCTGTTCCCAGCACCCATGGCAGATGACTCATAGGCACCTGTGTGAGTCCAGCTTCAGGGAATCTGACGCCTCCTCAAACGCCTGTACCCACGTGACTATCCCCTGACCCACATATACATACACATAATTATAAAGTAAATAAATAAAGATCAAGCTAGAAAGCAGTGTACAGCTGGGTGGTGGTGGCACACACCTTTACCTGAAACACTTGGGAGGCAGAGGCAGGTGGATCTGAGTTAGAGGCCAGCTTGGCTTATAGATCAAGTTCAAGAATGGCCAGGGCTACACAGAGCTTGAAACACTCCATCAAAGAGAGAGAGACAGAGAGAGAGAGAGAGAGAGAGAGAGAGAGAGAGAGAGAGAGAGAGAGAGAAGAAAGAAAAAGAAAAGAAAGCAGAATGAATGCATATCACGAGCTCATTTTGACTTGTTTAAGAATAGTTTTCATTTCTATGTATATTTTCACAGGTGCCATCAGAACATGTCACAAAGGACAGACACATGCAGAGATAAACTGGCTTCGTGTGGTAAAAGTTTGGATGGATTTAGTGTTTGTGTTACATCATTCTGCACTTTCTAGTTTGTTCTCGTAAGGGACGAGTTTCACCCTCGTGACAGAGGCAGGGTTAGGAGGAAGAGAAGGAACACTTCCTGTCAACAGTCTTCAGGAACTGCTTTTGATAGCAATCCCATTACCAGTCGTCTTCAGTTCCTAGCACACAACCTCCTTACGGAAGACCCTAGGACAGACAGACGAAGCACATGGGAAGAAACGCTAAGAACAGCTGGGGTTTCAGGTAACTCTCGGTGTGTTTTGGAGGTGGGAGGACCACAGTGTGTAAGAGAGTGTGACTCGTCCCTTCAGTGCTAGAGTCGGTGTCACCAAAGCTTATGTCCCAACTTTTTTGTTGTCCTACAGGACCTGCAGCAAGTCACTAAGCCCAACAGTCCTGTCTCCTCCTCTGTAAGATGGGGATGGAGACCACGATGATGATGATGATGACGATGACAATGTTGCCGTCTACTCTGTACAACTACAGTAAAGACGGAGAGAGTTAATACAACAGGCAGCAACAATCAGCATGAAGAGACGGAAGACTAAGAGACACAGCGTCAAACAGAAGCAAAGGCAGAAATAAGAGACTCACCGGCACGGTGGATGGAGCGCTGGCAGAGCATGTACTCTTTCTTCTGGTTACAAGAACCAAGGGCATTTGCTATGGGGCCTGACTTAGCTCTGCCACAGTAGGTAGTGGCTTGGAAGAAGTGCCACAACCTCTTTCTGCCTGTCTCTACCTATAGAAGATGAAGCCAGCAGCAGCCTTTCCATTGTGTGGGCGTGTCTTAACAACTTAGGCTCTGCTACAGCAGGTACAACTTTCACATGACATCCAATGTGGTGATATATTATTTATGATTTATTAAAGCTTGCCTGAGGATTCAGAAAGCAAAGCCAGCCTCAAGCTGCAGAGATCAGGTGGTGGTGGCGGTGGTGGTGGTGGTGGTACACACCTTTAATCCCAGGCCTCAGGATTAAGAAACAGACGGATCTCAGTGAGTTCAAGGCCACCCAGATCTACACAAGACTGATCAGTCTTCAACTGCTCACACAAAGATGATCTCAGCACTAGGGATCACACACCTTGCATCCCAGCACTAGGGAGGTATAAAAGCAAAGGGTCTCATGTGGAGAATTAGTCTCTAGCCCCTTGCGGACAGCAGAGCAGTCTGAGTGAATCTGAGGAGCAGTGAAGTTGGGAACACTCTGAGGATCACCCCTTTGGTGTGAGCTGAGGGAGAGGTAAGACCTAGGGTCTGGCTGCTTTGCTTCTCCGATCTTCAGAAAGCTTGGACCCCAATATCAATCAGTCTCTGGGTCTTTTATTTATTGTGCTACAATCCAACCTTCCCTTCTTCCTTCCTACCACAGCCAGGGTTTGAGTGTAAGAACACAACCAGACTAAAATGTTCAGCTTCTCAAATGCAAATTTAAACCCATGAAGGTGCAAACCACCTCCTGACCCCGACCCCACCCAGCCCGGGAAATGGTTAGTTGGAACTACGGTGGTGGCACACAGCGTGGGGATGTGAAGCAATCCGTGAAGACCCGAGGCTGAACAGTCACGCTTTGACCCAGCAATTCCATTCCTACACATGCACCAACAGGAATGTGTAAGTATGGCCAACAAAAGACACAACCAAAATGGCCCTACATCAAATTAGCCTATTTTACAGAATGTCGTCATAACTGCCTTCCTTGTTCACCAGTGGAATAGCAGCCAGCAATCCTGTTCACCTCTGGGATACCAGAAAGCAATGGAAACGGTTTGGAATCACAGCAACAACACAGATCCATGTCGTGGAGGAGTATGAAACAAAAGCAGCCAGGCTAGCTAGCTGGGCAGGGTGGCTCATATTGTAACTTCAGTTCTCCAGAGGCAGAGGCTACTGCATGCGTGAAGCCAGCCTGCCTTACACAGAAAGCTTTAGACCAGTCAAGGTGAGATATGAAACTGTCTAGATCAGTGGTCCTCAACGTTCCCACTGCTGTGAGCCTTTCATACAGTTCCCCGTGCTGTGGTGACCCCAACCATAAAATTATTTCACCACTACTTCCTAATTGTAATGGTGTTACTGTTATGAATTATGCTTTTAATGATTCATTTTATTATTTCCCCCCACGTGTGTCTGTGTGAGGGTGTTGGATCTCCTGGAGTTACAGCTTATGAACCCGAATGTAAACATCTGATATGTAGGATGTCTGATGTGACCCCTGTGAAAGGAAGGGTCATTCACCACACCCACCACTCCCAGCCCCTCACCCACCCCACCCACCCACCAGGGGCTTCCATCCACAGGTTGAGAACCACCTAAAGAACTGGAGGGGAGGGAGGAGGGAGGAGGAGACAGGCGGGCAGGAGACCAGACACTTTTATAAAGGTCAGAATAATAAAATGAACTTGCAGTGCTAGAACCAAGAATGGCGCTAACCTCTGCAGAGGAGAGAAGGGGCAGAAGGGGCCAGAGGCGCTCACTAATTATTTCTGGGCCTAGGGGATTTTTTAACTTTTATTCTAGCTATTAATTTATTTGTACATATCAGGAAATAGAGCACATAAGTCAGAGAACGACTTGTGAGTCAGGCCCCCCTGCAGTGGGGTCCCGGGAGTCAAACTCAGGTCTTCAGGCCTCCTGGCAAGCACCTTTGCCTGATGAGCCACTCTGTCGGCAAAGCTGCCGTGTGGCGTCCCCTTCCAGTCCCGTAGCAGTAAGGACAAACGGGCCAGCAATCTGAAAGGACTCGCATCTTTAAATAAATTAGTAACCAACCTGAGGAGGGGATGCTTCGCTTCTATTAACACCATCTGGAGATTTTGTTGCTTGTGCTGATGCATTCTAAGAACAAGAAAGAACATTATTAAAAAAAAAAAAAAAAAAAAAAAAAAAAGAACAGAAAACTAAAGTTTGAAAACAAAATACTAAGGAAGACCTAGTAGACACTTTTCTCTGTTGAACAAAATTAGTAATTGTTTATTAGAAGATTTTCATGCAAGCAAAAGTAGTGTGGTTAAGTGTTTTAGAAAAATCGCTTTGCTGTATAACATGAAACTAAATCATCTAGTTTGTAGAACTTTTGTTTCAAGCTAACCTCTTCCCGTTATGCTCCTAGTTTTGTCCCCATGACAAAGCCCAACAAGAGGGACTCAGTCAGCACAGCTCACTCCAACAGAAAACTATCCAAAAGGAAGTCATATCGCCTGCTCCCCACAGTAAAATTACATTCAAATTAAAATTATTTGGGCAAAGCTATTTTTTAAAAAAACGTGGTAATAGGAAACTGAAATGCCTCATTCATTCTACGCCAACAATGTAAATGAGGCAAGTGCAAACGTTTTCGGGAAATGTTCTACTGGAAACTTCTTCCGCAGGTACTGTTGGTGAGCCCAGTGCTCCCAGGAAGAGCCACTGGGCAGCTCAGGACTCCGAGACTCAGAATTCTGTAAGCATGTACAGTGCACAGCCTCCACGCTCCACCACCACTACAGAGCAGCCATAGGAAAACCACCGCCTTGCTGTACACAACAGCATGGCACCCCATACAGCACTGGTCAATGTCCCAGGGGCCCAGCAACTCCATGCTACACTTCCTCTTCCTCTACAGCTAACCCAAGGAAAGATCAAAGGAGAGACGACGGGTAGCTTGTCAAAAGTATTCTCCAGTTTCTCAAGGGACATGAGGTATTTACTAATAACAAAGTAGTCATTGGGTATTACAAACTTATTGTGTCATATAATTTAGCCTTATTTTTCAGGAAAGAAAGCAAAATATGTACACATGGAGGATTTCCTTGGCATTCTTGTTAAGTTGCCTAGGCTCCGCCTGTTTTTCAATCCCGGGTTACACATGTGCACCACCCTAGCTTTAGGGTTTAACTTCCTGGAGATACATACCTACAGGGGGTGGAAAACAGTGTGGCCACGGAAGTGTGAGAACATGCAGCAACATACCAAAGGACGAATATGAGCTTATATTGTTAACAGTGGGAAACGGACATGTGGTAAGGGGGAATATTCACACTGTTACTATTTATAATATGCCTCCATTTTTCCTGAGTTAAACCTTTCAAGCACCTTCTCTCACCTCCAAAATATGTTCTTAATGTTTGCCAGTCTGAGAGGTGTTTTTTAAAGGTACATAGGAAAAATGGCTGGGACAGCATAGGAATTCCCCAACCTTCCTGATCACGGCCACTTCAATTACACGGTAACTGCATGGGACACGTCATCTACATAACATCATAATGGTGTACGTACGGTCAGGAGTACACTTTAAATCATGAAGAAAGGTCTCAAAGGGCTCTGTGCGGTAGGTCAGGGGACAGAGGGAAAGCAAGGTCCGTACTCTTCGTGAAGGCAATGAGCTGACACACAACTGTGGTCCATGTGAGAAAACTCCCCGGCTACTTAAACACCAGCAACCAAGCTCAGCACACAGCACCTAAACCATTCTTAAAGCTCTCTTCTCTTTGCACTTGTTTGTTTGAGACGGGGTCTTACGTAGTCTAAAGTCTTAAATTATCTACATTGCCGAGGCTGGCCTTGAACTCTTCATTTCCCTTCCTTCGCCTTGAGTGCTGAGATTACAGGCATGAATGAACGTGCATGACTAGCTCTGAAAATACGTCTAAAGGTAAACCCCGTATCACACAGCCAGGCAGGTATAGTACACACCTGAGAGCATACTGGCCTGGTAGACTGTGTGAGTCTAGATCAGGGCTCTCTGGAAGCAAAGCTTGAGGTTTCTGCCACTATCTGTTTCTGCCTTGTTCTGTTTTCAGCTTCTGCAATCCCTGCTTTGTGAAGCCCATCTGGCTCATCTGCAGACCCAACAACGCATTCTATATGCAGCTTATTTTCTTCTACAAGACTTGGATTCTTTTTGTGTAAACATACACATAGACATCTTTGTCTCCACATTAACCCATTAGCTCTCAGAGGGCAGGGCACACCAATATTCCCATCCTGGCACCCAGTATCTGACATTTTGCCTAAGAGTAAGCACCCAGTGAATGACTGTTAAACCCTTGCCTGGGCACTTCCTTCACAGAGGAACTCTCAACGTCTTTGTCCCAGAGAAGCAGAAGAACTCAGTCACCCTATGCTGATGGCCAGGGTCACCAACTGGGGCAATTCTTGAACAACAGGTAAATTTTCCTACAGCTTCTCTGCCAGATTTGTATTCAAATATATTCTTTCTACTTTTTTCTACAATCTTCTCTAATTACATGTGTTTCAATCTTTCTATAACCATTTTTTTTTTTTTTTTTTTTTTTTTTTTTTTACTACTGAGCACTAAGGATACAGTTGTTTTTAACCAAGTTAAACCCTGGAAGTTGGCAGATGCTTTTGATGCTGGCATCTGGAAAGCAGGTAGATCTCTGTGAGTTCAAGGCCAGCATGGTCTACATAGCAAGTTCCAGGACAGCCAGGGCTAATGATAATGAGACCCTGCCTTGACCCAATAAATAAAAACCTTGAAGAAGGAGAAGAAGAAAAAACTAAATTACGGAAAACTCAACACTTGATAAACTTGTAATTAACCCACACTAAGTTTTTATTATGATACCAAACAACTATTCTGTAGTTTCCCTTTGTCTCGTGCAGATGTTTTTAATCATGAACATACAAAATATATATAAATTAGTTTTTTAGTCTACTTAAGTTTATTTTTACATAATTTAAAGCACTCACTTTTACCTTACAGCATATTTGACAACAGAATAGGAAAAGAAATTATTTTATACACTGTATTCATGACAGGTATACCTTTTAAGTTTCTATTACTCCTATATGTAGAATATAGCATGCTTTTTTTTTTTTTTTAAACTGGTAAGTCTATGATGTAGCTGGGACTCCTGACTCGGCCCCAAATATCTTTATAAATAGTAAGCGCTGCTTGCAGCCAGAGCCAGAGCGAAAGCAGTTTTCCAAATGTCCCTTGACAGCCCCTCTTTACCTTAGAGCTCTCTTCTCTAGACCCAAGCTTAGAGTCCTTGTGCACAAGAAGCCTTCACTGGCCACCTGGTTTAAGAGCAAATGTTCTGTTTCTACCGCGTTAAACTAATTCTCAACACTTAGAAAAACTACAAACCCAGTTAGTTCAGCCATCCTCCAAGGGAACATCAAAGGCTATCCTTAGGAAGTAAACACTGCTACATTTTAGTTTATTAAATCATCAATTTACCAGCTACTCCAAATAGAAAAATGTCTACTTTCCCAAAATAAGTCACATATAAAGTTAAAATTAAGTGAATTAATTTATTTTTTAAAAAAATGAGACAGCTATTTCCTTTCATACTCAAGAACTAGTCATTACAAAACACAATGAACTTACTCTTAACTGTCGTTTCAAAATAAAGACATGAACATGCTGTAACAGAATCCACCTAACTATGCAATGTTGTTAATTATTGACTTACACAATGAAAGCATGAGCTCCCTTAAAAAGTCAAGTCTCGTTTCAAACATTCGTGGCTTCTTCCTAACAGTAAAACAGACTTCTAATCACACACACTGGCTTTTTTGATATAAGCAAACATTTCCAAGGGATAAAACATGAGCGCTAGTTCTAACAAGTGAAGGTCGCCTTCGCTACATTAGTGGGAAGGGGGGATGTTACTGCGACGCTGTTAGAGTTCCCAGGAAGCAACTAGCAGCCAGACCCAGGAACTTGTTCTTGGAGGTTTAGAGCAGGGTTAGCAACACGACACTGAAGTCACTATGAGGAAAGGCAAGGGGTAAACCGCATGAGACTTGCTGCTACAACTACCCGAATGTTTTGCTTCCCCACAAGGGAATGCAAAAAGCGGTGGAAGGACTCACCACACTGCCAATCTGTGTTTTAGGCTGTTTGGAGGAATCCAAAGCAAAGATAGTATACTCAGAGAGAAAGGCAGGTTCTGCTACCATCCCGGCTAGTACCTGTCTCAGTCGGTGTAATAAGCAGAGGCATAAAAACAAGACAAATGATAAATACAAATCATGGCATGTTCCAGAAAGTTCTCACAGCACTACACTACAACGTTCATACCACTACAGCCACTCTCATGATGATCACCCCGTCTACCAAAAAAGAAACAGTAAGTTGCTGGGAAAGATCACGAATAGGATGAACTAATTAGTTTAGGATTTCAAAGGCCAACTTGGAAGCCACTTGCTAACTGGCACACGGATGTCTGTCTGCAGCAGGCATCATAGTACCCAGTATATCTGGCAATGTGGTATTCCAATATGAAAAAAAAAACCCACAAAAGTGCAAAATATTGGTGACAAGCAATGAAGACTCAGAACTAGCAGACTGTGTACTTAAACTCTTCTAGCAGGCTTACATCTTAGACGTTACGTTAGCTCTTCTTACCAGACACCATCCTTCTCCTCGGCGGCAGCAAAATCATGACAGGAGGAAACTTCAGGGGGTGATGGGTATAGGGTAGAGCTATAGCCCCAACAATGGTAACTTCACAAATCTACACTCATCCTCAACTCACTGACTTACATACACGGAAAACAGAAAACTTTCATGTTAATCTTATCTCAGTAAAGTGGGCTTAAGATAAATGTAAACAACACAAAACTTTGGCATAACTTCTATAAATACTAAGATGTATTCTTTTTTTTTTTTTTTTTCCTTTTCTTTTTTGGTAATAAGGAACGCCTCAAGAATTCGCGTGTCATCCTTGCGCAGGGGCCATGCCAGTCTCCTGTGTACCGTTCCAGTTTAGTATAAGCTGCCGAAGTGAGCGCCTAAGAAGACTTCTTTAGAGACTTAAAAAGACAGCACTGCCATATACAAATAATAAAACACACACAAAGCCTTCATCCATACTTATATGCAAAATTACCTTTATCAAAAGTATATACACAAGAGCCAAGCGGTGGTGGCACACACCTTAACCCTAGCACTCAGGTGACAGAGGGCTACAGAAAGAAACCATGTCTCAAATCCTCCCCCCCCCCCCCGAAAAAAGCACACACATAAAAAAACATCTAAACTAAACAAAATCTATTAATATTAGTTCTTTGGATGCATATTCTTTTGTGCTTTCTTTTTCTTCCAGAAGTGTTATACCAAAACAGAAACTATATAATGTAGTACCTAATATACAATAAATTATATATCCTGTAAAGGACATGTCTGAAAATGAGCATGTGCAAAAGTTTAAAAACATTAGCGGGCATTGGTGACACACGCCTTTCATCCCAGCACTCAGAAGGCAGAGGCAGGCGGATCACTGTGAGTTCCAGGCCAGCTTGGACTACAGAACAAGTTCCAGGACAGCCAAGGCTACAGAGAAACCCTGTCTTGGATGAGAACAACAAAACAAAACAAAACAAAAAAAAAAAAAAAAAAAAAAAAAAAAACAGGCCCTCACATAGCTGCCCTCAAGCTTATTTATTATGTAGCAAGGGTGACCTTGAAATATTGACTCTTGTTCCCCACTAACTGGATTAGTTAGGTATCACTATGCCAGACTAAGAAAAAATAAAATTAAACAACTTTTAAAATGATGCATGTGCACTTTGGTGTATGCATGCATGTAAGCATGTGGGTCAATGTGAGGACAGAGATTCACGCTGAGTGCCTCCCTCCATTTCTCTCAACCTTTCTTCTCTTTTTTAATATTTATTTATCTTTATGTGTGTGTTTTGCCTGCATGTATATCTGTGTGAGGGTGTCAGGTCCCCTGGAACTGGAGTTAATGACAGTTGTGAGTTCCTAGGGAGGTGTTGGCAACCGTAGTCAGGTCCTCCCCAAGAGCAGCCAGTGCTCTAACCACTGAGCCACCTCTCCAGCCTGGTCAACCTTACTCTCTCTCACTGAAACTAAAACTAACCAATCTTGCAAGAGTGGCCAGCCAGCCAGCCAGCCAGCTCCAGGTCCTCCAGCCTTTGCTCCCCCAGCCAGGAATTACATACACACACCATCACACCTGGCTTCTTACATGGGCTCTGGGGATCCAAATTGGAGTCTTCATGCTTGTACAACAAGCATTTTGCCAGCTGAGCCTTCTCCCAAACCCAGGGTATAGATTCTTTTTAAAAGCTTTTTGTAATAATGATGACTAGAGCTCCTGGGATGGAATCCAAGAACTTCCTATACTAAATTCTAAATGTTATTACCAATTATATATTAAATTATCCTAAATGCTTGCCTGGCTCCAAGAATCCCATCCAAACTTACTGAAAATCTGACTCTGGGGCTCTCAGAAAGGCCATTCTTTGAATAAATGGTAACTGTAAGTTGAAAGCTATACAGATTCACTTCTCTTAGGCTTCCAAATTAATTTTTTAAAGCAGAAACATTATTACCCATGCAAGTAAAAATAATAATAATAATAATAATAATAATAATAATAATAATAATACAAGTTTAAAAGGAAGTGACATGTAAGGTTTTAAGAAAGCACCACCCAAGTGTGACACCATCACAGAGAAATGGTGACCAAAATCCCAAAAGGCGGGGCCCACCAACACTGAGTGGAGTGATGTGCCCAGGCATTCATGTCAACCATCTGAAGCCTTCAGGCTACCCTGAAGGATTCCACCTATCCTGTGAATGTCATGCATGCCATCCCTTCTACAGCTGTGTCTTTCTACCGTGGGGTAGTCATTATTTTTTCTGAAGTCACTCATTTTTCCTTGTGGTGATATATTATTTATGGTTTAATAAAGCTTGCTGGAGGGTTCAGAAAGTCAGCCACAAGCTATAGCGGTCAGGCAGTGGTGATACACACCTTTAATCCCAGAACTCAGGAGACAGATGGATAGATGGATCTCTCTGAGTTCTAGACCACACTGGCCTACACAGGAGTGAAGCGTAACAGAGCTCACCTCTTTGATCCCAGCACTTGGGATCACATACCCACAACTGACTGTAACTACAGATGTGGCAGATTTATCACGCTCAGGTAGTGCCTCCTAGGGACTCAGAGCCCCCAGAACTGGAGCTGTAGGCAGTATGCATCCCCATGTGGTTGCTTGGAAATGAATCTAGGTCCTGTGTAAGAGCAGCAAATGCTCCTGACTGAGCCATTTCTCCAATCCCTCTAAGATCTTGCTATATTTGTTATACTTCACAGGAAAAAAGGAACAAAAACAATCTAGTTGTATGGAATTGGTTGTTACTTTTCAGTTTCTAGCCACCAGCTTGAAAATATAGGGCTTTCCCCCATATTTGAACAAAACATTACTGAATTATTCTAACCGCTCCAAAATTAAATAAACATACTTATCCTCAAATTACTTTTCTATAACAGTTTACAAGAGTTAACTGCTACTTGTATTTTTAAAAAGAAAAAGATAAGTTGAGTTATTAATAAATATAATACCAAGGAATTAAATAACCGACTTGTGAAAATTATTTCCCATATTATCCCCATCATCAGCATTACAGTTTAACTTCCTATGACAAGTGTTTGAGAATGCCACACTAACCTCTCTGTTGGGTGTCACGTCATCAAGCTGGTCTGTAAATGACGATGTCCTGCTTCTAATCCTTGTTGGTGTTGCAGAGTTGGAGGAAGCCTACATTTAAAAAATCATTGTACAAATTAGAAGAGGCACTGACTAGTACAATTTCCTTTTCTCATATTGGCTTATTATATTTTTTTTACTCTGTTTCTTTTATTTTTTTAAGTACATTATTTTTGAGCGGTTCTTTTCTTACTTCATGCCCAGGAACTCAAAGGAAGGAAAGGGACATATAAAAAAAGCAGGAAATAATAATTACACAGCTACCCACTAGGTCCTTGACCTGACAATCAATTATATATATATGTATATATATATATATATATACACACACACACACATATATATATATATATCATAAGACTGTGACTATATTTAGGATAATATTGGGAGAAAGAGTATATGAAAACGGTACTATGGTTGCCACTTTTCTGTAAATCAAAATGATTCAAAAAATTTAAGTTTGTCAAAAACAAAACAAAAAGGTTGAGCCAGATGCACACGCCTTTAATCCCAGCATTCGGGAGGCAGAGGCAAGAAGGTGGATCTCTGTGACTCTGAAGCCAGCCTGGTCTACAGAGGGAGTTCCAAGACAGCCAAGGGTACAGAAAAAGCCTGTCTTGAAAAACTAAAACCAGGACTGGAGAGATGGCTTAGAGATTAAGAGCACTGACTGCTCTTCCAGAGGTCCTAAATTCAATTCTCAGTAGCCACATGGTGGCTCACAACCACCTGTAATAAGACATAGTGCCCTCTGCTGGCCTGCAGGCACATGTGCAGTCAGAACACTATATTAAATCAATCAATCAATCAAAAAATTAAAAAAAACTAAAACCAATTTTGTCAATTTCAACTTTAAAGTCCCTGAATCATTCAGTACTATGAACTTTACAGGTAAATGCTATGTCCCACCTCCCTAGTCAAAAGCCTATCTTTGGATCTACATGTAAGCACAGCTGGACATTCAGACGCTAAGAACAACAGAACTACTTGAATCTTCAATACAGAACAAAGAGCCCAAATACTAATCCTGGCATCTTAAGTCTAATGTGAGCAAAGAAACAGCCCTGAAAGTGTAAAAGCAAAACATGACCACTCCTTTGTACTTGTAACAAAATAACACCCCTGAACTCCACACAACAAGCGGGCAAATGGAACGCTAACCTATGTGCCAGCGCACTGCTATGACCAGGGTGGAGCTGGGTCATGAGCACACACATACAAACACTACACACACTACACAAACAAACAGATGTAAGCTAAACTTCACATCAGGGCACATGGTCAGTAAACAGTGTAGAAACAACTGGCCATCCACTCTGGGAAAGATACAAATGTTAGCCTCTGAATGGAAAGGATGTTTATGTCAAAGGCAGAATGCAGAGTGAGTTTAAATGGCAAGGACACCTGTGTACATAAGCTCAATAACTTTCTTCAATAAACAGCTCTTATACAGCCTAAGTTCAACCTTAAAAACTTACTACCCCAGTCCTCCGTTTATCTGCAATAGGCAACTTGAGATCTGCCAGTCAGACACACCCACGTGGGACTGAGTCACACCTAAGGAAATAGACTTTCAAAGGTAAAGGTCGCCCTTTGGGAAGCACAGGAACAGAGAGCTGGAAACAAAGGGCAGAGGGAGCACAGTGGAGTTGGGAGGAGCCCTGCTGGTGCCAGGTGTGAGCACCTGAACACTTTTAAGAGTCCAGGATGTAGTCATCAGCCCCGGCTACAGAGCCCTCCAAAGATTCCTTAACAAATTCCTTTCCTTCCTTCCTGCCCCGACTGAATTCTGTTACTTACAACAAAGAATTCTAACATGTGCTCCTTCTACAAATGACCTTCAAATCAGCACAGGACCCACTAAAACCAGCTATGTGCAAGTCACATTAAAGGATAAGATGTCCTCTACCACCCAAGACAAAACAAGATGAACCAGATAGGATTTAAAATTTTAAACAGGCAAATAGGTGAACGCGGCATAAATCTTTAGCAATGGCTTAACATATACACATAACCAAAAGTCTGTGTTGTGATTTTGGGGGGGGGGTAGCCACTAAAGCCTGTTTACTCCACAGACAGCTTTCATCAAAGTTGAGGGAACTGAATACTGGGCAAGTGCTTTCTGTACAGGCATGAAGCCTGAGTTTCTGGTACTCCACAGCCATGTAAAATGTGGGGCACAGCAGTACACAGCTGTACCCTTCTTAGACTAGAGCCAGTTTTCAAAGCAAGCTCCAAAGACTGACGCCAGAGAGAGAGCACCCTGCTGGACAGGGTGCAATGTTAGAAGGGCAATGAGAAACTACTGATGAGAGGGAATGTTCTAGACCAACCAATTCCCTTTGTGATTCCACAATGCCTAGGAAATCTCTGGGTTATTAATTCAGCTCTCCAAACACCCAGATGCCAGCAAAGGACACCCTGCATAGACCTTTACTAGCTTGAAAATAACCCTCAATGTGAATTTCAAAGTCACCCGCACATCTCGGCCCCCTAAGTCTAATCAGTCCTCATCAACTGTGGGCAGGCATTAAAAAGTGACTTAAGTATGTAAGTCTGATGATGTCCTAGCTCTGAAACACCGTGCCGAGAAGAGCAGGATAGCACCTGGCAACATTCAGCCTAATGGCTCCCTAACCTTCTCTGGAGCTTCGAGAGGAATCCCATGAGAAGAGGTGGTCTCCTGGGGCACAGATCTTTAATGGGCTCTCACACTTAAGAGACAGGGATGAATTTAAAGGCCTGGAGGCAGCTCAATGGAAAAGCACTTGCCTAACATAGGAAAGGCCCTGGTTTCCATCTGGGGTGTGTGTGGTGTGTGTGTGTGTGTGTGGTGTGTGTGTGTGGTGTGTGTGTGTGGTGTGTGTGTGTGTGTGTGTGTGGTGTGTGTGTGTGTGGTGTGTGGTGTGGTGTGTGTGTGTGTGTGTGTGTGTGTGTGTGTGTTTGCTAGGTGAACTGGCAGTGCTATCCAGGCTCACATTCATACTCCATTCCCTGCCAAGTTCTTATTAGCTGACCAGAAGCTTCACCTTCAGTATAAGAAAAACCAGTGTAGCCAGGTGGTGGTGGCAGAGCCGTCTTTTACCCCAGCACTCTGGAGGCAGAAACAGGTGGATCTTGTAGAGTTTGAGGCCAGCCTGATCTACAAAGCAAATTCCAGGACGGCCAGAAACACTCTCACAACTGTGTTATCATAGATGGAAAGGGGGATTCTGAAATAATGATTTTAGCTGAAAATGAACTACTCTTAATTAAAAACAAAAGCAACTACCTACATAAGTTTAATGTAGTAACATTAAGTCCTTCAAATCTGGGTCTGGAGGACAGAGACTAAGGCTAAAGAGCTATGTGCTGTGCTGAATAAAAGCAAAATGCCTACAGGCACACATAGCAACTGCTGGCAGTCTCCAGGAGACTCTTCAACAACCTGCAGAGACCAAGACCTCCAAGCACTGACTGACCTCTATCATAACCGCATGGACATGGCAGCTAGGAAGCCAACCTGGACAACACCTTGACAGCCGAAAAACAGAGCCAGTTCTGGCGTCCCAGACTACTGACCTACAGAACCGTGGAGGCTCTCAGCTGGGAAGCACTAGTGCTGTGTGAAAACGAACAGTTAACTTGGGGAATAATCAGCTCTAGCCTGCTGCGTACTCCTGGGCTCCATCTTCCTACATGCACACAGCACCTGTGCACACCATCACAGTAATGGAAGGATGTGTCTCTCAGCCAAGCAGGGACAACATGTGTCCTTCCAGGCAAATGGTCCACCCAGCACAGCACCTTGTAGGCACTGTTTAGTGAAAACATCCTTGACAACTACAAATGACTCCTTATACTTTGTCACTTGGGGTCCTCATGATCAATCTGAAAGGTACAAAGGGCGTGTTACATTGTACCCAATCTCCCGATGAGATACAAAGGGAATGTTACATTGTACCCAATCTCCCGATGAGATACAAAGGGAATGTTACATTGTACCCAATCTCCCGATGAGATACAAAGGGAATGTTACATTGTACCCAATCTCCCGATGAGATACAAAGGGAATGTTACATTGTACCCAATCTCCCGATGAGATTAGATGCTCAGAATACTTAGATGCTTGCCCAAGTCAGACCTCCACTAACTAGCTTAGCACACAGTGTCTAACTCCCTTGTCTACCTCACGGGTTCTCTAGATGACTACTTCTCAAACTTCTCTGGGACTACAGTAAAAAATAATCATTAATGCCACCATACTTCTACCTAATTCATAGAGATACCCCTAAAACAAAGTCTCACAGAACTTTTGTTTACAGGGTATAGCAGCTAGGCCTCAGACCCATCCATAACTTCCACATCTCGCCCCACTGCTGAGCTATACACCCAGTATTGAACATGATTATATCCACCATCTATTCCCCTCCTCCAACTCCCCCCTCCCACCCACATTCCCTCTAATCAACCAGTGTTGCCCACATGTGTGTGGACGTGAGGTATCCACTGGAGCAGGAGAAACCTGCCAGAAAGAACTTCCACCACCATGAGCAGACCGGCCGGCCACGAATCCTCCCTCCCCCAGCAGCTGCTCACTAAGGAGTGGACCCTGGAGAGAATCTCCCCTAATGAGCTCTAGCTTCTCACTGTAATTTTTGTGTTTTGTTTTGCTTTTTGGTTCTTGAGACAGGGTTTCTCTGTATTGCTTTGGAGCCTGTCCTAACACTTGATCTGTAAACCAGGCTGGCCTCAAACTCACAGAGATCTGCCTGCCTCTGCCTCACAGAGTGCTGGGACTAAAGGTGTGCGCCACCAATGCCCGGCCTGAGTGTAATTTCATTAAACTTAAGAGTAGACTTTCAGGTACAGCCCACAAGCTACCTGGAGTACCTTCACGGCACCGTATCATCTTTGTAAGTCAAAGTAAGCACAGAGTTCCTGTATCTGGTCACCAATGCTCAAACCTATACACTCCAATTTATCTCAGGTTTTTAACTATGATTTTAAAAATGAAATTAATATTATTCTCAGGTTGAACAATATGATTTAAAGATAGCAAAACCAAAAAT